CTAGCAGAGCGCCCGGTCACTGTCCCTCTCTCTCTCCCTAGGCCTATGACCCGTACATATATAGGAAACCATACATTTGTTTAGCCTCATAAACAACAAAAAAAAAATAAAGCTCAATTCATTCTCAATATTTATTTTTTATAGCCTTTTATAATATTTTATTATTACATAATATAGATCTAGATCCAGAAATTTTCATGTCATTAGAGCATGACTAGATCTATCACGAACAATTACATCCGACATGGTCTAGCCGGTAGTGACCTTGTGACCTGATTACCGTAGCAATAGACAGCGCGGTGCTGCCACTTGCGTAACATTCTTCAAAAGGGTCCTTTCATGGGAAGTTTTCCTGTTTTTAAATGGTTTTAATATAAAGTTATGTGGAAATATGTATAAATATCCTAAATAATTTTTTTTTTCTACTTTGGATCATAATATATTTCCTAGATCTACTATAGACCAAGAGCTGTTGACTCGCCCAAGGTGGTCAGTTTTCATTTTTCCAATAGTAGCCAAATTGATAATTAGCTCAAAATTTCCATTTTATGTGTTTTAGCTGTGTTCTCTATAGAAAGTTTTGTGACAGTATGGAGAAATATGCTTAAAAAAAAATTTTCAATATGGACCATACATTTTTTCTAAGATCAGGTCCTGATCTAGATCCTTTAGGCTATTTCGCAGTCTGTAAGTTTTCATTTCTCATTTTCAAACATTACTATAAAAATAATTTTTTGTTTTATAATAATTTGCTTTGTGCTATATCAAAAGGGCATGCGGTCCTTGAAACTAAATATATAATTTTCTAATAAAAAATTAAAAGTCATAAAATTTTAATCAAAGCACTCTGAATGGCCAAAAAAATTAATTTGCCCAAACGTGGAAATTAATTCCAGAGTCAAAGAGTTAAATTTATCAGCAAAATATTATATAAATGCTTGTGTCCTTGACTTTTTGCTAATTTTGATTTGTTTGTTTCAGATAACTGAATATGTAGGTCAGGTAGAAATTGATAAACCAAAGATCAATTATCTAAAATATGAGCCTAAAGAATTGCCTTTAGATACAGAGGGTAAATATTAAATTATTTTCTTTTTGGTGTTGTCATTGACTAATTATGCTACATCATATTTATTTATTCCATTTATTATTTCATTTCCCAGCATTTAGTCACATTATAGAAATTTATGACTTTCCCCCGGAATTAGCAACCTGTGATCTTATTGCAGCCTTCAGGGAATTTGCGTAAGTTAATAAGTGACAATTTGTATACTGTATTGATATTATACATGCATTTTATAGGCAAGTAGTATGTTCTTGTGACAACTATATGATTATGCCATCTGGACTATGTGGTACAGAAATGCGAGATATGAATAATTATATTTGTTTTTTTGTTTTTTTTGCCTTAAACAGATCTCGAGGATTTGATGTTAAATGGGTGGATGATACTCATGCTCTTGGGGTGTTTTCTAGTGCTGTGGCTGGTGAGTTCAAAGTTACCAATAAAATAACGAAAACACGAAAAGCCCCTGAGTTTTTAATGCTTGTATTCATTTTTATTTTATTTACCACACGAACATAAAACTGTGTTTTATTAAATACTTTAGCTAATAATTAACATAAAGCAATGCTAGTAGACATTTATATATGACATCTTCTGAAAACATAAACTTGCTAACTTACATCGAACATTTAATTTAACATTTAATAATGAGATAACCCACATTTATTTGTTTATTTTTAATTTAAATCTCCAATACTTTTTAAACATTTAAGTTTGATTGTTTCACTATCTTGCCATTTTGAATTTGTTTATTTATCAGGGCCATCATATGTGATTGTAGTTTATAATTTGCATTCTATTTAACTAGCCAATGAAGCACTGAAGATGTTTCACCCATTACTTAAAGTAAGATCAATGTCAGAGGCATCAAAAAAAGGACAACAGAAAGCAAGACATTGTCAAGGTAACATTATGTAAACTTCTTTATCCACATGGATTTATTGTCACCATATCCATTTGTTTCATTGAAATAAACTAAGTCAATGTTGAACTCTAATTGGCATGCTGTAAATGTTTGTGAGTTCTTGTTTGTTTATTAAACCTACCTTGTCGTGATATGTATAAGATATCTAGTAAGAAAATTTTAAGCTAATATTAAATTAGAAATCTTTGGTGAAATTCCACTTACTATTATCAACGTTATGTAATACTCTTTTTAATGTGGCTTTATGAACTACCCTGAAGGTAATTTTTTTCTGTTCTTAAATATCATGTTTCATTTAGACATGGTTAAATATATATTGTGCTAATGCTTGATATATAGTGATTTATTTTTTGTCTAACCAGATTGACCAAAGTTCTCTTAGGATAGACATACTTATATATCAATGACTGCATATTAAAATGTTGAATATAAAAGCAAATATATAGCAATTTTCTTAGGAGGATAAACCTGAACAAAATCATTTTTTAAAAGGTGTGAGAATTTTAATTTTTTTTTTTTTTCAAATTTTATCAGAGTTTCTTCAGCCTTACAAAGCTCGACCTGAGACTACTTCAATAGCAGCTCGACGGCTAGTTGCTGGGGCTCTAGGTATGGCTCCTCGGGTATCAAGGGAAGTAAGAGATCAGGAGAAACAAAAGTTGAAAGATGCAAAAGGTAATCTTAGAGGATACATTTGTAAATATTTTAATAAAATCAAAATCAGTCCAAAAATGACCTTCTCTGTTCACAGTGTTGTTTGCAAGCACTTTGCTGAAATATTAGTCACCTAATTCATAATTCACCTAATCAACAATTAAAAACTTCAATGTGTTCGATAATCTTTTCTTTGAAGCAGTTCTAATTATGTATGTAGTCTCTTTAAGATTACTTAAAACAAGTAGAATAAGGATTCTAGAATTTAGACAAGAAAATATAACCATTGCATAGACCATATTAAAATTACAGATGCACTGACCTATAGCAAATTCCTCCCCCCCCCCCCCCCCCCCCCCCCCTTACAATGGGATTTTAACTACCATGAAATATGTGAGGTTAGTCAAGTTAGGAATCAAACATCATACAATTTTATTTTTTTTTATGGTCAATATCAATTTTAAGATTTAAAAAAAAAGTAAAGTACCCTTTCAAACCTAGCAAATGATGTAAAGGTCATTTGTTTTATGGCCAACGATTAACATGGGTGTCATGTGGCCAGTACAACAAGCAACTGCCTTTATTTTCACCAACTAAAATTAGGCACCCATTATAGTTAGATGGACAGAAGGGCATCCTAAAAATCTTGGAACTTAAAATCCTACACTTCACCGAGATTCGAACCTGGAACCTCTTAGTTTGAAAGCTAAGCGGTTTACCACTCAGCCACCAAGCCCCAAAATATTTATTAATTTAGATGAATACATTAAAGCAATTCGACTTGCAAACTCTGAATTTTTTAATTTTTTTTTTTTCAAATAGAAAAAAGACGTCAAGAAAGACAACAGAAAAGTGATATGTGGGATGGTTCATTTGGAAAGTGTGCCATGGACATAGAAGATCAGAGTGTCAGATAGCATCAATTCTACTCATAAAACTATGTTTTATTCTTGGTGCTAGTTCTTCCTTCTCCCAACTCCAATGTGCTGTCTTTGTTTTTGACTATTAGTTAACAATGCTACTGAATACCAAGAGAAATATTTTTAGTTGAAGCATGAAATATCTACAACATGCCTTTTTAATGAAGCTGATTGTGTGTTTGTTTTGTTGTTTTAAATGTTCATTTAGATTGTCACATATTCTTTTTGTAAAGTTTGTATATTAGTTGACATTTAAATACTTCAGTGTTTCTCAAATTTTAGGATGATCTTCCCTCGGGGATGCCACATTTCGTCAATAATGATGTGATGGTGTTGCATTGATTTTTCAAGCAACAAAAAATATGTAGTGTTTGCAATCTGGTTATAAATCCATTTTTGAATATTAATCATGTCAAAATATGTTTTAAAACAAAGCTGGAACATTGTTACCAACTTATTAGCTGGTATAATTTAATTTTTTTTTTAGCTGAGGGGGGGTTCTGGGTAATCACATGTAAATCTAAAATGCTTAAGAAAGAATGAATTATACTATTCGCGGAAACTTAAATATTTGATAAACTAATAACCAATTAAAATTTTTAAAAAAACCTGGCTATGTTTTACAGCAGAATGACAGTTTTTAGTGACATTTCCCCTATGACCAAAGTTGTTTAAATTTTTTTTTTTTTAAGGTGGATAAGGAATCAGATATATTTTTTGAAAGAAATTTGACTTGTGGTAGTGCTTCAGAAAGCATTATAAAATGTTAAATGATATTGATACAAATAAATATTGAACACAAAAGCCATACTAATTTAATATTATAATTTGTATTGCTCAAGAGATTAAGAAGTAAGCAAAAAAATATGTTATCAGGTTTATAGCAGGGATGTAGCTAAGGATTTGGGGGCATGGGGGGCTTGACCTCTACAGGGCCCCAGGATTTTGACGTTCAACATCATGACATGAGCTAATGGCTACACCACTAGTCTATAGGTTGTATTGTTTTATTTCTTTTTTTGTCATTCAATTTTCAGCATTTGAAACTCATTTGCTACATTATTTTTATACTTAACATATCTAGTCCTTTTGTGTACTAAGCTTGAAAAGGCAGATTAACTGTGTGGCCAATAAGAATCTTCAATCTTTAGTTTTGTTTATTGGTACCCACTATGGCTGGGTTGCTATTAAGCATTGAGTATCTTTGCAAATATTGAGTCAAGAAAGTGGTAATACTTGAGACTTAATACATTGAACTGGTATAAAAACTGCGAGACAGTGTGAACAGTTTAAAATTATTTTTTTTTTATAAATATTTGATGGCTTCCAAAAAAAAAAGTTTTTTTTTCTTACCATTGTTGAATTAGTTTCGTTTCAATTTAGAATTTCATTGTTTGATATGAATCTAGACCGTAAGGAACTACAAAAAAAAAATATATTTACAAATCTATTTTGATTCACTCATTCAAACCTTTGTCTCAGTGTTGTGCCCCTGGTCAGATTTGAATGATTAATAGAAAGAAGTCTGTATGACAGGCAAAGAGAATGCTTAGTTTAACTTTGTTGAATTAATACAAATGTACATTTACCACCATGAAATATCAATGTTTTGATCTGACCATGCATTCAATAATAAGACAGACATATTTGTATAGACTTTCCTATTGGAAGAATAACATCCCATCATTGAGTAGTAACGTTTCAATCTAAAAACAAACAAACTGTATTTTGAGTTATCTATTTTTGAATAAAAATTATTTATTTTTTATGTAGATGTAATTTTATTTTGGTTAGTTTTGTGGAATGCACCCGTTTGATATAACTTCATAGTGACACAGGCTCTGTTTTCATTGTTACTTAGGTATTAGTACTATACTGTTTACAGTGAAGCTATTTTCTCTCATTGGCAAAGTACAGAAATATTCTTGCCAGTGAGTTCTGACTTTGCTAAAAATGTGCCTTCTAGAGATGCCATTAGACTTTGAGAAATGTCACAATTGTGTTTTTTTGTAAATATTGCAACGATTATGGATTGACTTTGAAATTTGATTTCCAATATTGATGTAGATAAACATTTGAAAAGTAAACAGTTGGTGGAGTTTCTCCTTTTTTAAAAAATTTAATTGTTTCTAAGTATGAGTGTGTCTATCTTCATATAACTTATTTTATCTTTCTAGTATTTTAACTGCTTGTTCTTATTTCGAATATAAGTATATACTCATTTATCCTTAAAGGACTAGGAACTGCGCGTCTCGAGACATGACGTTAAACTGCGCTCCTCTTTCCTTAGCACTTTTGGAGCTCAAAAGTGCCCTACTTCTTTTCTATCATTGTGTCTGCCTCCTCTTTTCCTCAGTTTGACTTCTTTGATCATCACTCAGTCTCCTTATCTCTAAAATCTCACTACGTCCTAGACCAGTCCGTTTGCCGTGGACTGCGACGGGTAAGGGGGGATAGAGAGATCCTGGTGTTTGAGTGGTGGCTATCTGAGGATAAACCACCATAACACAATACTTTGGCTCCAAGTTCCCCTAGACCTGAGGCCCAGATGGCCCGCTCTGGGTCAACCGGCTGGTCATGCCGAGCTATCATCATAGGTCGTCGACCTATGCTGGAGGGCGGTGGCTGGAGGGTCAATCAGGGAGCTGCTGTATCGGACACATGCCCGATGCAGTAGCTGACTGAGTATAGCACCTGTGTAGCCCTGGCGGGCTCATTCTGGACATCCGAATGGCCCGTCCCCTTGTTGGACTCGATGGCGGGTGGGGAGCACAGGTGCCGAACTAACAAGAAAATATATATGGATAAAAAAAACCCCAATAAACTACTTGCCCCAGATTTAACTCTGGGCAAGAGAGGAGGCGGCCACAAAAAGCTGTACTACCTGGCCATCATTTTTGGTGGTCAGGTGCACAGAGGAGGGAAAAAGCTTGACAAAGCTGAGCCCTTTTCTTATCTATAAGGGACTCAAGTCAGTAGTGGGAGAGCCCAAGAGTGTGTTTAAGCTACACAAGTCAATGGAACTTCTTGTAGAAGTAGATAGCAAGACACACTCTGATGGGCTTTTAAGATGCAGAAGACTGTGATCTCCAAGTGGAAGTCATGCCACACAAGAGTCTGAACACCAGCAGAGGTGTAATCAGCTCTAGGGACCTACTGGAATGTTCCGAGAAGGAGATGGTGGAGGGCATTGAAGGAGTCACCCATGCCAGGCGCAGGGATGGTGAGGAGGTCAAAACCGCCACTATTATCCTCACATTCGGAACTAGGACACCGCCAGAGTATGTGAAGGCAGGATACCTACGAGTTCCAGTGAGGCCCTACATACCTAACCCCATAAGGTGCATCAAGTGCCAGGGTTATGGACACGGCGCGGCAGTCTGCAAGAGGAACACTGTGTGTGCCAGATGTGCTGGAGAGGGTCATGAGGACAAGGGCTGCACAGCCCAGTTCAAATGCCCAAACTGTCACGCTGGCCACTCAGCCTACTCCAAGGACTGCCCTGTGTGGAAACAGGAGGGATCTCCCCTCTCCAGAGAGAAAGACTTCCCTCAAAAGGGGGTTGTCCTCCTCTCCATCGAAACCCAAGAATAAAAATAACAAGGTCACTGGAATAAAGGGAAACCCCTCCTGGGGCCTCCCAAGGCCAAATAACTCCAAGTAGGTCATTTAGAATAAGCCATGGATTCCAGAATTGTACAGTGGAATTGTAGAGACCTCAAGGCCAATTATAAGGAAATGCAGCTACTGATGGACTCTGAGACTCCTGTAGCTGTCTGCTTACAGGAAACATTTCTGAAAGATAGCATCAGTTTCCGAAGCTACAGTGCTTACAGCAAGAATGTTGAGGATGCAGAGAGAGCATCAGGTGGAGTCTGTATCCTTGTGAAGGACAGCATCCCACATGAGAGAGTAGAACTACAGACCACACTACAGGCCGTAGCAGCTAGGATAACCCTTCACAAGGTTATCACTTGCTGCAGCCTGTATCTACCACCAGGCGCTCCATTAAACCCAACAGACATGGAGGACCTATATAATCCTTGGGATTTCAATGCCCATAACACCATGTGGGGATCCAACAATACCGACACAAGAGGTCGTATGCTGGAGGGTATCTTCCTCCAACATGATTTATGCATACTTAATGATGCATCACCGACCTACTTGCACCCAGGAACTGGATCTCTCACATGCATTGACCTCACCGTATGCGTCCCTGGACTTCTGGACGACTTTAAATGGTCAGTTAGCAATGATCTACGGGGAAGTGATCACTTCCCAATCATCATTACTAACAATCTCCCCTTATTGGGACGACCTCAGTGGTGGAAACTGAATAAGGCCGATTGGAACAATTTCAAAAAGGATGCTCCGAGGATATCACAGAAAATATCCTCGATGAACAGAACCCAGCTGATACCTTTGCTAGCAAGATACTTAGTATAGCCAGGAAAGTTGTCCCCTTAACCTCCGCAAATCCAAAACGGCCTAGCAAACCATGGTTTGATACAGCTTGCAAAAGTGCTATTGGCGATAGGAAAAAACGACTGGCTGCATTTATAAAGAATCCTTCCCAGAAAAACCTAAAGCTAATCAGGATAGCTAGAGCAAAGGCTAGAAAACCATACGGTCAGCCAAAAGGAATTCCTGGAGAAGTTTTGTCGGCAGTCTGGATGCCAAAACTTCTGCTAGAGCGGTTTGGAAGGCAGTAAGGCGAATCAGAGGGAAAGAATCAAATGCAATAGGCCATCTGAAAAACCAAGGACGAACTGTCACATCCCCCAGAGAAATAGCTGACTGCCTTGCATCCTCAATGGCAGAAAAGTCATCCACTGCACACTACACGCCAGAGTTCCAAAAAGTCAAAACCAGGGAGGAAAGACATCTCATTGATTTCAGGTCAGAAAACAATGAAGACTACAACAAACCGTTCTCGCTTGAGGAACTGACACAGCGCCTGGAGAAGATGAAATCCATTACCAGTTCCTCAAGCACCTTCCCGAACCCTCATTGGCAGTCCTGCTAGGGGTCTATAACTGTGTGTGGCAAACAGGCGCTTTCCCAAACAGCTGGAGGAAAGCCACAGTTATACCGATACCTAAACCGGGAAGAGACGGCTCTGACCCAGCTAACTATCGACCAATAGCACTAACAAGCTGCAAAACCATGGAAAAAATGATTATCAGTAGGCTGGTCTGGTACCTGGAGAGGAATAAAGTGATCTCCAACTACCACTGTGGATTCCGGCAGGGGCGGACAACAACTGACCACCTGGTAAGGCTGGAAGCTTATATTAGAAATGCATTACTCAGAAGAGAACATCTAGTAGCTGTATTCTTCGATCTACAAAAGGCCTATGACACAACCTGGAAACATGGCATTCTACGTGACCTGGAGCTTATTGGGCTTAAGGGACACCTCCTCCGAAAGACCGAAAATTTCATGTTCGAGTGGGCAACTCCGCTTCTGACACTCATGACCAGGAAATGGATGTACCCCAGGGCAGCATTCTGTCAGTCACCCTGTTCAACATTAAAATAAATAGCATCATAAATGCTCTGTCCCTTGGCAGAGAGTGCTCTTTGCATGTTGATGACTTTGTCATTCTTACTTATGGGAAAAACATGAACACCTTAGAAAGAAAATTACAGTTATGTTTAAACAAAATTCAGGGTTGGGCAAACGATAATGGTTTTAAATTTTCGGACTCCAAAACAGTCAGTATGCATTTTTGTAATTTAAGGGGACTCCACCCAGACCCTGAACTATTTATACACAAAAAATTTTTAGGCCTCACCTTAGATTCCAAATTTAATTTTCTCCCCCACATTAAGGAACTTAAGAAAAAATGCCAAAAGTCATTAAATATACTTAGAGTACTCAGCCATACGGACTGGGGAGCTGACAGAGATACCTTGCTGCTGCTATATATACCTATCGATAGTGGCAGAACCGATGGTAGGCTGAGACTCACAATAAACTCAGGCAGATTGTGGCGGATGTCAGATGGCGGCCCAATTCTGACAAGGCGTGGTAGCACGACCATGTCCAGACTTAGGATTGGCCACACCTACAATAGCACTCTTTTGTGCTGAAGAGAGAGGAGCCCCCACTTTGTCAGTACTGTGACTCTCGCCTCACTGTGGAACATATCCTCGTTGATTGCCCCAGATACCAGGATGTCAGGGAGAAATATTTTAGAGCCACTTACTTAAAAACACTATTTGATAATGTCGACCCTGGGAAGGTACTGGGCTTTATCCGGGAAGTGGGGTTATCTACGAAGATCTGATTTGTGAACATGTACTATTTACATTAGATTTTTACCAAATAATTAAATTTTTACTACCTTTACTATTTTAACTGTGAATAGACCTTGATTAATGATATGACTGTATAGAATTTGGCCCTTGTTGTTTAGAGAGAGAGTAGTCCTTAAGGGACTGCAGGCACGACATGGCCTAAATTGTGCCCAAAATCAAATCAACTAGGAACTGCATGCTTTACAATTAGAAATGAGTTGTATTTCTGTCAACTTTGAATCTGAGGATGTTGTAACAAATATTTGACAATGGACTTCCTTTGCCATTACTCCTTAGATCTTCTAGTGTGTCAACTATTTGAGTTTGGAGAAATAAATAGCGCTGAATTGCATTGTGCAATCTAAACATCAGAACTTGTGCTGTTTGCTTTTAACCTTATTGAAAGACTAGATAGTATAGAGCAATGCTCATCCTCCCATAAAGTATGAAAATTAAATACTGTGTGTAAAATATATGCAACTAGTTTGGCTAGAGAAACGGTCTAAAGGTTATTGTATGGTTACAGTCAAAAGGTAATTGATAGGGTTACAGTAATTCCCCTCCCCCTCCCGATCATTAATAAAATGTTTTACCCTTTTGTTTATTTTTTGATTAGCCAATTACAACAAAAAGTCGATGAGGCAATTTCTTTTTTTAATGGTCCAATAAGTGCTACCTAGTAAGCTATTCCGCATTATCTGGGGAAGGTCAGGCCAACTACGCCCTGTGTAGCACATGTCTATGTTGTATACAAATTGTACATCCTGCAGCTTCATTAACACA